GATTTCTCTCACATCTGTTGCATCTACAGGACAGGAAGTGAGGTGAAATCTCTTTTAATGATACATAGATGGCCTGGATTAAAAAAAAAATGCTTGATTAAATCTAGTGGTAGAGCTTGAAATACTCCTCCGTCTGGTGCGCTCTACTAATCCACAAGGTTCCGATTTGTGGAAGGGCCCTCGCCGTCCTCCCATACAGTGCAGGACTACTGGTCCTGCATTGTATGTGATGACATCTAAGTGCGGTCACCAGATGGAGTGCTGAAAAAAAAAAAGGGGAGCCCCACTGCAAGGGTATTTTTTTTTTTGTGCTGCCCAGTGTAGGGCTTTAAGCATTCCCTACTCTATCTCTAATGGGGAAAAAAGTCATTAATGGCTATTGACAGTTGATTTATGGGGGCAGGACTTCTGGTCTGCTTGTAGACCTGTATGTAATCGGGGGATCCAGAGTTTGCAGGCACCTCAATCTGGTTCTAGCAGTGTTGGTTTATACACTTTTATTTTATGACTGGTTCATTTTGTTACATTTCCCAGGCCCTAATTACTGCATTCGGGACTTTCCAAAATATTTCTTCACAATCTGTCATGATGGGTTTTCCGATCATCAAGATTGAGTGCTGTTTTGTTCTTTCTTTTGGCAGACTGTGTGTTTTTTTCGAATCTTTCTGGCAGACTGTTGTGTTTTCCAGCCTTTGCAGCCATGTGTTGTATTTTGCTGAAGGGGGAATCCTTTAATTAAAGAAGTTATCGCCTTTGAGATGGAGGAAAAGGCTTCCCATGGCACCTTGACCTGGGCTACTGTGCTTCCCCCCCACTTAGAATCCTGGAAGATCAGTTGATGGTAGTCTCTTTAGATGTCAGCAAGTGGGCCTCTGTTGGTGCAGCACAGCTCCAGCTGGCTAGGCAAGAACTTTGTACTAACACTTAAAAGGGCCAAGCCCCCCCCGAAGCTTCAGAGATGCTTTTTTATAGACCGCTGGTCATTGGGGTTCATGAGCAGAGAAACCCAGTCTGCCTTAAGGTTTTTTTCTTTTTTACTGTTTAGGAATGAAATAAAGGCAGCATATCCATATCACATCTTAAGTACCCAGGGAGCCCCTGAGCCTCACTTATGATTGCATATTATGACTTCAGATGTAAAGTTGAAGCCCTGTCCACCCCTCCCACCTCCATATTGGTCCACAAGGACACCTTGAGAAGCAGGAGAAGCGTGACCTGAGCCTCACGCCTTAGAGCACCAGATGTACATTTGATTCTAGCAATTTAAACCGTATACCATCAGGTGTAGTTTACATCCCTCTATAGATGGGTACATCCTCATTGAAACACATGTTCCTACTACTGTTTTTAATGCATCCAATATTACCATCTATCGAAGATTAGTTGTAAGGCACATTCCAGCTTGTTGGAAAATCTGGAGTGTTTGCGGAGACGCACACAGCTTACTAGCACCCACAACTCACCCATGTACCCATGTTGTTGTCAAAGACAGTTGGATCTATAATGCAGCAATACCCCGCACAGAAAACCAACAATATGCCAGCAAATTTCACCACCGCCTAAGCACACACCAAAGCTGGTCACTTCCATTTATTGCATCACTTCCCCTTTAAAACACTCCCCTACTTGCAGGGCATTTTGGAATCATTTTTGACGCCTCCTTAATGCCTTAAATATGTCTCCCGAATGCCTTGTTAACGCTATGGGCGCATTAATCAGTGTTGCTCTTTTGATAAATTTGGTAAGAACCCTTAAGCTGGCTTTACACCTATAGATTATCTGCTGGTTTTCTATGAGATGTAAAAAGTGCCACAGATTCCTCCATCTACGCTAAACTGTGTGGATGGAGGAATCTCCCACTGGGCCAAGCTTCAGTATCTTGCCAGTCAGCACCGCTGGCTCTCAAAATACCTGAACAATGCCTGCATCTGATCAGATTCTATAGGTCCAATCATACTCTATAGATGTATAGCCAGCTTTACTGCTGGCAAAAAAACATTGTACTGTTATAATGAGCCTGAAGTTGTACATATACAGATCTTTCCGCCTGACCCATTAGATACAAATTCAGCCATCGATATTAATCAGCAAAGACGACTGCGTACACAGGGTGACCTTTTGTATGACTTCCATCTTGTTAATTTTCCTGTAGGATTTCCATCACAGCTGCATTTTGGGTATACGTCTTGCATACAGCCAGCTTAATATCTCTCATTTTATCCACTGTGTTTTGTAAACGATGATTGTGAATGGTTTACAATTCATGATGCAGCTATGTTCCTATCCATAGCTGTCATTAGCGGGCACTGATCAACACCTCCCTACTCTGCTATTCTGCAATGCGCCTTTGTGCATAGGAATGCAGAACAAGACTCCCTTCCATGTCCTGCTACGTTCCATCCCTGCAGTATGAGTCACTCACCCCCCTTCCTTCAGCCTTTCTCTATTGTTCCCCCCCTCCCTCCCTCCCTCCCTCCCATCTTCTTAGTGCCTTGTAGTACCTCCCCTTCACCATTGCACGGAAATATTGTCTCCGTAGTAGACTGCATTGTCTTTATGCAAGCTCTGAGCAGTCTTTCGGAAAGCACAGTGATCTGCTAAAGTGCAGCAGCAGTAGAGTCCGTCTATATTGATGTGACCTACAGCCCTGACAGACGTTAGTTTATAGAGTACATACGAGTTTGGTTCTTTGTCTTTAGCCTTCAGGTAGCCATTTTGTTTTGTCAATCAAAACTGAAAACCTCACTGCTAAAGGCAACAACATGCCTCATCGCCTTTTAGTTTCTGCATTTTTGTTTTGTGCCACAGGAATTTTTTTCAAATTTTTGGCCTCTGAAATGTATGCTCCCACCATGTGCAGGTGAAGCATACGTTTTGGGGTCTTCTGCCATCTAGAGTTTAGACCTGATTGCCTAAAGGGAAGATGAGACACTCTGCTGGGACCCCCTTTCCCCCTCCATGCCTCTCTGTTTTTTTGCTTTATCATTTGCACTTACACATCCTTGGCTGTTAACCCTGTCCTGTCTCACCCTTTTTTGCATTAGAGGCTATGCAGTCATTCATGAATCCCATTTGATTAAAGCCAGGCCTACAGGTGTACCTCTTCTTCTGTTTACTTCTCTCCCATGATTACTCTTGTCTGGATAACACTAACACCAATGGTTTCTTCCGAAAAACAAATACAAATAACATTTTGCTGCATGCTTTTAGTTACGTCTGAGATGATCAAAAATGTCATTGCGAAAGCTAAGTTGGAAGCCAAATGGTATATACGAGTCTTGCTACAATGTTGGCTTCTGGGTCACTTACAAGTCCGTGTCTTCGAGAGTTTCCCCTCAGGGGACGAGTGCTGTCCCATCAAGAGTTAACGAGAGCCAAACTTTTTGAAACTTGGAAATCGGTGTGATAGGCAGAATTACAAGCTATATAAAGTCAGGTGATGCCTACCCAAAATTTGATGTAAGCATTGTTACATTTTAAAGGGCCAGTGAACCTAAAATACACGTCATCCTCATAAGCTGTAATATCAACTTGCTCTTTGGCCATTAAAGCTGAATTCCAGACAGATATAAAAGTCTTCATATATATTAATCATGAGTTGGGTTTTTTTTCTTTTTCTAATGCAAGTAGTGTAAGAGGCAGAAGTCGTACAGGTATCAAGCTTTTGCAATCCCCTGTACTACAGAGCTCAGAAAGGAAGAAGCATCTCAAAAGAGCCATTTAGTTGTGCTGATAGGAGAAGAGAGAGATATAGAGATCTGCTTCTCCTTCACTGTCCAGTCACAGGCTGTGGAAGGCACAATACCTTTTGTTACTCAACTGCAGCAAGGTCGCCTGTCCTGTCTGGCAGGGCTGTGCTGTATATCCTTTCGGCAGGTAAAACGGCTCCTATGTATGCGTTTCATCTGTATTTAGCTATTTACCTGGAGTTCAGCTTCAAGCAGGCCTGTACTAGAAGCTTTTCTAAATGATAAGCTATTTTTTATACCTTTTTTTTTTAATGGGGTTTCAGCTAGTATTGGCCAATGTTCCCAATTATTGATGAGCACAGTAAGCTGCCGCATCTTTTCCACTTGCCTCGTAATGTCGTCATGCTTGTTTTCCCTTCCGGCAAAGGTAAAGATCAGCAATAGAAAGCTTTGATCGCTTGGTTCCTCCTCATCCAAGCTCATCTAGGGGTCAATGCCCATGTTTATTAATTTGCATTTTTTTTACAAAATTGGAAGATGGATTAAGTGACGTGTCTTTAGTTGTCATTTAGGCTTACTGGTCCTTTAAATCATCAAAAGCACCCTTCAGTGAATGTGTTTTCTGTGATGCTGAAGTTGTCACGCAGAGTCTGCCAGTGCATATTGGCCGTGTCTTCACACTGTATTACAGAAACGTACAATAAACCCGTATTTTAGGTCAGATATACAGTAGGAGGCCTCAGATGTCTCTATGTAACTTTTTGAGTTGGTTTCAAGTTCTATATCCAACATGGGTCTCCATAAACAGATTGGGTACGGTAGTAGATTGTAAAATGGGTCTCCCATCCTCCTCTTTGGCTCTTTTTGGGACAGTACCTTTCTTGTGGTCAAGGTGACGGCTAGGTGTTTTGTCTTTTTATGCTTTTGTGTTTTTCCCGGTTTCATTTTGAACTTGTATCCATGTATGTCTCTACCAGACACCCCAGCATATGACTTGTTCCTGCAGATTACTGGAGAGCCAGTAAGAACACCACCTTACCCTATCAGACCATAGTGTAGGGAGCACAGTGTTTTATGTCACCATACACTTAGATTTTAATTTTTTTATTATTATTCCTTCTTTGTAATTTACTCAGTAGATTTTATATTTATATCCTTTTTTTGTTTATTTTCTTTGCATGACTGTCAGTTCTCACAAACTTCGGTCACCAGTGGAGAGTAAATGATCAAAGGGAGGGGGGGCAAATTTTATTACCGGAATATTTTCGTGTTTCTTTTTCTCCCCCTTCCTTCTCTCCCCTATCCGTTCAGGATAACATCGGACATCGCTTACTGCAAAAGCATGGGTGGAAGCTCGGCCAGGGCCTGGGGAAATCCCTTCAGGGTAAGTTAGTTGCTGATTTTACTTTTCAGTGTTTTTTCATGAAAGATTTTGTCATTGAATGCCTGTGTACTCCCCCCTTCTCTTTTCACTTCATACCTTTTTGCTTTTTCCTTTTCAATACTATTTTGCGCCGACAAGAAGATCCGGTTACAGGGGACAAGCAACACCTTGGGAAGGCTCTCCTATGTAGTTTTTAAGCTTTATGTAGCCTGCTGCTTTATAATTGTGTAGAAAAGAAAAAACAAGTGCATTTGTGACTCTAGGCACCCATTTACATGAGGGGGTGGTCAGACGATGGGGGACTCCCCTGCCACCAGCTCCATTTCTGGGGAACAAAATTATTCACTAGGTAAATCCTACCAATTGATCAGTTCCTTTCACAAGATTGGTCAGCTTGGAAGTATCACAATGGTGGTGGGGCTGATTAGGCCACCATTATCTCATATCTGTAAGAACTATGTGATGAACTGTGAAGGGATAGAAGTCCTTCTATGAGGTTCTTTTATTACTGAGAATGAGAAGGGTGGTGTGCTAATATGTCTCACATTTTTGTATCCATTCTATGGATCTTAACACTTCAAGACCAGCACGTTTTGACAAACTTGGAGGTGCTTATAGGAAATGTTTGCTTCCACAGAGAGGTCAGAGGATGTCTGCAGCTGGCTGCTGATGGGTTGGGGTGTAAATTGCTGATTTGATGGGATAGGCACCAAAAGCATCATTCTCCAATAGAGTTCTCCTTACACTCAGAATGAACAATTATAGCCTGATAGGGGTTATCTTATCTAAAGCTCTAATGGCATGGTTAAATATCTATATAGTTGAAACTGTTTTTGCAAATGTTTGTTTTTCTCTGTTGGCTTAGAGCAGTACATTTTTGTTATGCGTTCTAGAGAATCAATGGGTGTAAACATTTTTTTTATGGGTCTCATCCAGTTGCTCATTGTTGTAGAGACCACTGGATCTGCCAGTGTGTTTTAAATACCCATCCATGGATATTATCTTAATAGGAAGAAAGTCTCTAAGGCTCTCGTTGATTATCTGTTTTTTTAATATCTGGGTTTCCAAAATGTTGGCATTTGACAGCACGATCGATGTCATCTAACCAATGTAGCCAAGGTTGTCTAGCACAGGGCTGGGCATATCCATGAAGCCAGGTACCCAATGCTCCTTTAAAATAATTTACAGTTGGCACCAACATTTTGAGGTTTTCTATAGTCGTCTTTAAAAAAAGTTGGCTCCTAAAACAAAATCCTACTGACTCCTAAACAACATATTCATTTGTCCATCCCTGCTCTAGCACAAACGTCGGCCATAAACATTCCCATAATATCAGTAATGCCTGCCCAGTTTTTAGCATTCATGAATCCTTATTGTATCACCTTGCAATATTGTATCAGGCCTTGGTGCTTGAGGCCCCATTCACACCAGGGCGGTTCGGCCGCGCAGATCCACCAACATAAATAATCCCATACAGTGCTATGGGCACCGTTCATGCGACTGCGCAATCTGAACCGCCTCACGCCAAAATTGCTCCCTGACCCCTTTTTGCCATGCTGATCAGCGTGGTTTCCATACTGCTTTCAATGGAACCGCGCTGAAGTGGAATTAAAACCACCCCTTTAAAATCAGTGCGGAAACCGCGCTGGTGTGACTGGAGCCTGAAGCTGGGCTTAAATAAAGGTAGCCCAGTGTACTAGAGTCTTCCATAAGCTGTACAGACGTATGCACGTTATAGTGTAAGCATGAGCTTTCAACCTTGAAGGTCCGATATTGGTTAGAAGACATGATTGTGGAGGATGAGGGTTTTTAGGTTAGTGTGTATTGCCTTGTAACCTTTCAGTCAAACCTGCTTGTAGTCCTGTCTGCCCTGTGTACAATATTCATAGGTTTCAAGTAACTCAATACGCAAACTGGATATTTAAAGCCTCATTCTCTCCTGCATCTGGTCCAGGTTTAAATTACCTTGTATCTCAACGCATCAGATGTTGGCTGCTGTAGAACTGTGTGTGGAGCTCAGGCAATTCAAGGCCTCTTGCAGGAGGATTTAATCCCACAACAGACACTTGAGCTTGTGCTTTGCTTCAACTCATGAAGACTTTAATTAAAATGAGTCCATATATCGCATTCCTCAAGATGTCACAAGACCCATTCAGATAAAGCACTAGAAACCTTATTTGTGCGAAGTAAATATGTGACTTTCAGGAGTCCTTGGGAAAGCTAAGCTGGTTCCTGCTTTACGGAGATTTTTAAATGTTCAACCAGTTTACAAGAAGCCGTTTTATGAACTATAAAAAAACGAAATTGTTGTTCAGGGCTATTTTTAGCACAGTAGCTGTAAAAAAAGGTCTCCTGTTCTGTCATATAGAGCCACTTGATGGTTGCCAGTGATAAATATGAAATATTCATGTTCGATCTTAAATAATTTTTATTACTGAGCATAATATAACCTAAAAAAACATATAATTCCATTTATGCTTAGTAAGTTGAGGGCCCTTAATACACACAGAGGTAATACTTTAAACACAATGGTCTAGTTTGACTATGCCTTTACTTTAGTACTGGTTACCTAAAATATCCTTAAACCTAAAGTGTAATGCTCAGTTCTCACCCCCAGTATAGCCATCAATGTAAAAGAACAACCAACTAAAGACAACATGGAGAGAAATACTCCATTACAGGAATGAAACTGTTGACTTGTGCTTGTTTCAAGAGTGAATTTAGCAGCAAGTTAGAGAAGACTGTAGCTGGGTATAAAAGTTCATAAACCTTACTGTACATGGGGTGGTGTCATGTGTACTTTCAACCTTGCACCGCACTTCCAACATCGCCATGCTTCCATATGCATATAGCATGTTTCAAGTCATCAGAATTTCAAGTGCTCAGTACATTTTACTGTCTTTTGTGTTGATAATCCCTTGTTGATGGAACCTTTTGACCACTTACCGTGAATGTTAGAGGCTGCTTAAAAGGCTGCATTTGAATTAGTTGCATAGATAGTAATTTATGCAGAACTGAACTGGCTCTCAGCTACGTGCCTTACTATAAGCTCCAACAGCCAACCCTTGGATCACTTTAGAGTTGTTCATGGCATGTTGCCTAAAGCAATATAATGAAATTGTATCCTCTTGCTGCCGTCACATTCTTAGTGTCTATAGCCAGGACTTTATACTCCTCACCACTGCAACCTATAGGTTTTATAGTCTTTAAACTCTGTAACATGTTCATTCTATTTTAAATTAAACAATCGCAGTTTAACATACTTTCTTAGATGATTGCGGTAGCCCTTCAGGAGCCCTACTATCCAAGGGACTTGCATATGCAGATCTCAACTTCAGCCCATGAAATTGAACTTAGGCCCACCCTCTCCAGCCACCTGCTTGGTCAGTAATGTAGTCTTCCAGTTATGGAACATTATTGTGCCCTGGGAGGACTTTCAGCCTGTGTATGTATTCTAGGCTCCTGCCTTAGAATAAAAGGCGTACTGAATAAGGGCTTGTGTACATGGGGGGGAATGCATGTACTGACGCAGACAAAAGCACATGTGCGCAGGCGCTAAAGCTAAGTGCAGTGATGATGGCAACCAATCAGAACTGATCTAGTCAATGATCTGACTTGAGGTTACACTGATCTGGTTGCCATAGTTACTGTATGTTATACTGTCTTACCAAAACTCTTTTTAGGCTCTAAGTTCCTGTGTGCATGGGCTTTTGTTTGCATCAGACCTGCTTTTCTCTCCTTACATGTCAATGGATATGTAAACATGCGCCTTTAGGAGGTCAAGCCTCCAAAATGCAGCAGATTAGCATAGTGGTGCCCATAGTATGTATGTTCTAAATTTGTTTTCTGTAAATTTGTGGAGCCCGTCAGATCCAAGAACAAACTATAACTGAGGTTCAGGCTTCATCCAACTGATGGGCCTCACCCTCCCGGAAATAAGCCTTGCTTTCACAATAACAACATTTATCTCTCAGCCCATTCAGTTTATATGCTGTGTGTGGAACTTGTTTGTAGACAGTCAGCTAACAATATGCTTGGCAGGTTTATTGGAATTTCAAGCAGCTTTTGATTGCAAAATGTTTAAATGGATCAAAGCATTATCCGTTTTGATCAAACCAAGACCAAATGGAGCAAGGCACCCGTTATTGTTAGGTTACCTTGATCTATTTAGTCCTGTTTTAAAATAGCCACAAAATTGTTAGGTGTATAGCTGAAATAATGGCTTAGTCAAAAAAGTTGGCAACTGAACTCTCTCACAGCTCTCAATATATAAATATTCAAAAGGCAAAGAAATGCTTGGCTGTCATGTGAAAATGTATGGACTCTCCCTTTGATGCTGGATGTGTGGCCAAACCATTGGTCACATGATCACAGCTGGAGTATCTTTTGTTATTGGCTTAAACCATGACTGATGGCCACTGGCCCGGCACCCAAGGGAGATGCCTGTTTTAGGACTGCCAAGTACTTTATATCACCTGTTTCAGAAAGGGGAGCCAAGTTATAGGCAACGCAAACAGGACCACAGTGTTTGTGCTTTGAGTATTTCAAAAAGCCGCTTTAGTGTAATAGTGAACTCTGAATGGATAGCTCAACTAACCTCTCCAGATGCAGCAGCTCAGTGCTCTTTCTATTTCCCATCTCTAGTTCTCTAAACATTCTCTGGCTTTCTACCCTGTTGGTCAGAGCGCAAGCTCTGGAGACCACCTCCCTTATCCCCCTTCCTCACCCTGAAGAAGCTTCTTCCTCCTGCTAAGCCACCTCCCACCCTCTCACCTCATGATCGCTGCCTAACCAAAAGTGTTTCTTTTTTACAGCATAATACCCCTGGACTTGTTGTGGTGATGGTAAACTTAGCCGTGGTAATTGAAACTTTCTGTTCAGACTGACTACCTTTTTGTCATCAGTGCACCAATGTTAGGCTTCCTCTCTTTCTGTTCTGTCTTAGCATTCATATATATATATATTGCTTGGATCGTCTTTTCTTCCTCTGTCTCTCTCCA